CTTGGAAAAATATTTCGCCCGATTTTTCCCGGATGGTCATGAATGAGCGACCATCCGCGGGGAAAAGTAACAAATGTGCTTGAAATTGAAACTTGAGAGATTACTAATCAGGGCCGGATTTACCAACTTGCCGCTCATGGGCATGAGCCTCATGTTGGACACATTATTTGCGAAAACCCTGTCAACACTACTAGCAAAAGTTCACAAAACTTTGCGCAAAATTTAAGTTCCGTATACCTATCTCTGTGTGGACGAAGCTTTCCATTTGAAGGAATGAACGAAAAAATTATGAAAGAACAAGCATAAATGTGAAATAATAATTTTAACTTCCGCCGCTGCGCCGCGCTGACCGCAATGGGTTTGGCGCAATTCGTATAGTATTCCTTCAGTCTTGTAGGCGCTATGCGTTTCACGTCGCCCGCTGCTGACCGCAGCGACCGCACTTTTATGTCTTTGACGCAATGCGTGAAGTATTCATGCAGTCTTGTAGGTGCTAATATGTGTTACATGCCGACCGCCACACCGAGGGCTACTCCTTTTCATCTAAAATCTTGATTCTTGATTTAGGTGAAAGGGCAAAATACTTGTGAATTTCGCGAGGCTTTCTGACAAGCTAGTGACAAAATGAGGGATTTTGGAGACCATTGTTATCAATTTTTCCTGTGTTAAAACAAGGTGGAAGAGATGAAAAGTGTAACCGAACTTTGACATTTTGAAATCAGGAGGAGGAAAAACTGAAATAAATTCCCATCCCAGTACAGTCACGGTCAAGTTATTATATAATATGGAAATATCATTTTTGTGCGGCTTTGGCCATACTGGACCCTGATCGAGCGAGCATAGTGTTTCCGTGATTTTCTATTTTTCCGTTGTAGATTTTGGAATCCTTCGGCGAGGAAACGCCTCTCCGTCCTTGCCATCAAAACAGATTTTTTTTTTTTTTTTTTTTTTTTTTTTTTTTTTTTTTTTTTTTAACGGGATGTTAGAGTTTTTTGGCCAACTTGCTTAAAAAGTTCGGAAAATATATTTGATCCAAAAGAAGGCATACCTAATGTCCCTTTAAAACTTGAGGAAACGTGAGAACTGTATCCTCGAGCTGAGGTCAAAAGACCGCTTTGATTGAGACAATGATACACGGACAAAAAGATTAAGTGAGAGAAATCCTCATCATCGACGTGTAAAGTGAGGTAGGTAACGATTAGTGCATTGAAAACGCAGCAACGTAGATTTATCAACTTGCATCTCGAGATTATTGTGTACGTTTCGTTAGTTCCCTTCAAAGATTTAAAGCTGTTAAATGCTTAAAAGATACTACCCTCTATTTCGCGACCAGAAATTCTAACAACCTGAAAAATTGAGAATTATCAGAGAATTTTTTTAACACCAGGGAAAACATTGAAAATGTCGTGGATCTGACTTTAGCTCATTTTCAGTTTGCCCTCAGTTTTAGGTGTAAGAAATACGAGCTTCTGTGACCGAAAAGTGGTCTCACTCTCAGATTTCAGGCAATTCAAGCATCAGGTATAATTCATCATATTCAGTTCTTCATTTAAAATCCTCAAAATTTGGGAGGAGAAGCAAATGCCGTTCCCGCCTCATCCCCAGATTTAGTGCTCGCTAGTCTCCGCTTATGTATTTGGATACGGCAAATAAAATGCTATATTTAGTGGTGCTATAATGTCGTAGTTTCGTTAAAAGGTGGATTTATGACCTGAATTAAATTGAGGTCAAAGTACGCTTTGAGTTCTTTTTACAGATTTCAATCGTGCATGTGTAAGTACACAGTATGCATTCGACATAAAGTTCTAGAATTAAATTCGGAAAAAGACGTTGTTTTCAGTATTTTCGTCACGAAATTTTTAAATGTATTCAAATTAATGGAAGAGGGCAGCTATGTTGCATCACACTTTCATAATTACAAAGGTTAATGTAATCAGAGAGGAGTCAGTGTCATGTTTTTCATTGTTTGCTTTATTATTGTTACATGTCAGGTATATAGCTGTTGAATGTCGCAAAATACGCATCACCTCTCGGGACATTGCAGGCTTGCTGTCACATTTTATTTATTACCAGGAAAACCGACGAAAATATTAGTTCTTGAGAAGTTGCACTAACCTTCCTTTGTCCTGCGCGAAAAATTATGGGTATAATTCCGGAATCGTGTCATTTGAGTGATACCACTATTCGATCACGCAGGAGCTTGTGTTGCCTACACTAAAAATTGAAGGCGAACTGACATTGAGCCAAAAACACTGCTCCACGCTCGGTGTTGCCAGACATTTTTTGCACTGGCGAGGGGTGAATGATCGATTATCGATATTTTCCCGTTTGAAGCTATAGTAAAGAATCGATTATTAGGTTATTTATTTAAATGATGCCTATAGAGAGGAATAATTAGACTCATTATCAAAAAGGCACAATTTTCTGGGATAGTTGTTGCGTCAAAAACGATCACTCCAATTAAAACTTTAATTACGACAACGAATATTGCCCTGCGTCGTGATGAAACTATCATGCCAACACGACGAGGGAACTTCTGCCGTCACAAATATATTTTTTTTATCAATATAGTCGATCATAATTTCGCGACTTAAGGGTTATTTTCCTCGGCTCAACGAGAAACTGCGAAGAAAAGCTGTTTTCTTATGATAATGAACCCGATTTTCCCCAGACTATTTGTATCTGCAAGGAGAGTGGTTGAATGCTGCGTCCTACAGTGGATCGAGTCTATAGGAGAGGTCGGACAACATTTGGAAACTTCAAAAGCTTTAAACTCCGGTTATACAAAATTTTGAGGTTCCTAATGCGGTTCTATTGGTTTCCTCGTAAAATATTATTCTAAAGCACCCCTTAAAATGTAAAATGTGACGAAATAAACATCAAAATTTGTAGTTTTAATAAAAAAATTCATGTCCGACTCCGACCTCTCTAACTGACTCGATCCACTGTGCGTCCGATGAGTATTTTCACCGCCGTTTTCATCTAGATGCAAACTTTAGCAGTTCAATCCACTCTGATGCGTCAAAATTCCGATGCTATATGCATATATTGATATGATCGCTATGGATATTATCGTGAAGAATATTTTATGTTCACATCAAAACGCGATCCATGACTTTTCCATTATCATAATTTATGGATGAGCGCGCCAGTGGAAAAGTGCATGGGTGTCCACCTTCTCGGTGGATCGTACCCTGACGTAGCCTCTTCTCGCTGGAAAATGCACAGGCTCCAAAACGCACATCAAGGTTGTCTCCTGTTTCTGCGATGAGTCACTCACGGTGAAACCATCGTGAAACGTTTTCAGGCCTCCATCACCGGAAAGTCTCGGGATTCCCCGAAGATCACTCGAAAAATTGTACCCTGGAAAAATGTAAAAATGTATTCAAAAGAACGTTGCATTTAGATTACACTTTGTGAACGATCCCCGCCACTTTTCCTTCGAACTCTCGTTACGCCATGCATTCCTAACGGAGGGTAGGTTATTGATTGCTGTTTAACCTGTTGCCGCTGCATCATTTTTGAAACTGCATTAACTAACGTGAGGATGTTGCACTTCGTTTTATTTGTCTAATGAATAAATAATTTAGTCCTTAATTAAATTTTTTCAAGCGTCGGGTAATAAGCATTTTATATTTGAGGCTATACGACCAATTGGACTGCATTTTGCAATTTGGAGCTATAAATTCTGGCGCATCTGAAAAAACATTTATGTGCATAGGTATATAGACTAATGGCACACACGTTGCTTTTAAACCAGGCTAGAATTTATAGTTCCTACTTGCAAAATGTAGTCCAATTGTCAGTCTTATAAGCTGTGCTATGCTAAAGTATAGGTATATAGCGCCTAAAAACCGTGAAAGCTATGAATGCGGAGCGGAATCTATTCTCCTTAAGGAGTGACTTACACTAGTACGGAGCAAAATCTGCTCTTTTATGATGCTACTTTCACTCCGCCTTCAAGCAACTCGGGGTTTTTGGGCGCTGTATAGACCCCGGCACCGATTTTCACTCCTCGATTTTAAACAGTGAAATTAAACACATTTTTCCTTTAACGGTTACACAAACGCAAATAGAGGTTGGAAAAATCAAGGATAATTTTCAACGTCTCTTTCTTCAGCTAATTTAATTATTGCATCAAATAATTTCGATGTGAGAATTACTCCCAAGTGGCAGTGATAGCGAAAAATAGCGATTTTATCAGTTGGTTATCGCGATTATATCGGTGGCAATATATCGAGATATTAGATTAAAAATCGCAATATATATGGCGATTAAATCGCAACAAATCGCAATTTGTGGTTCGATAAAATCGTGATCAATTTTTGTCAATAAAATCGAGATTAGATCGCCATATATCGCGATTTTTATTTCGAAAATATCACGATAAATTGTCGGGTAATAAAAACGCGATTTTATCGCAATAAGATCGAGGATATTCGCTCAGATGTTGATGATCCTGGCGATTTTATCGCCGATAAAATCGCAATATATAGCGATTTTTCCGTTGAGAAATGCTACTTGGGCTGGGCAAAATCAAAATGTATGTATGTGAAAGTCACTTTTACGGCGCGCTAAGGTGCTCTGCGACGCCCACCCGCCACAAGAATCTATCATGTTATAGATCCTCCGGAAGCGAAGCTGGCATCTCTCCATCACGGCAAAAACGGCAATTTCTGCGTGGAAAATTCAAAACGCTATCAGAATATTCCCGCAGACCGTTGTTGTGAGACGCAACGATGAGCTGGAACGCGGCGGTGATTCCCGGCAACGGTTCTCCGCTCCTGTTGACGTCATCGCGGCCGGGCGCGCGGACTGGAGCGCTGCTTTTGCGGTGAATCTCGGGGCGCCGCCGTCGGAAAAATCCGCGCGGGGGAACCCGTTTCCCGGGCCGTTCCGCGTGTTTTCCGAAAAGCCGGGAGCCGGGGGTGAGCCGCTCCGGGCCGGAGGACCGCGCACGGCCGGCCAGCCACCAGTTACCGAATACCAGTACCAGTTCTCGGATTAAATAAAACATTGCCGGGCTTGCCGCCGACTGACACTGGCCGACCCGACCTTGCCGTCGAACGGAGAGTATTGCCACTCGCGACCCGCAGCGTCTCGCACTCCTCAGTTTGTTCGTTCGCTCGCTCGCGATCGCACCGCACCGCGATCGCACCCTAATCTTATCGCGTTTCAAGTGTGCCGCGCGCGTTTCAGTGTTTACCCAGTGTTGTGACGAGGATTACTAAGTGTCGTGCTCAGTGCTTTGCCGATCCCTTCCGACTCCAATATACCTTTCGAAAACGCACTACTAAACCCAGTTTGACTATTTTTCAATCAAATAATTAGTTTTTTATAAATTTTAAAGAAATGGCGTCCGTTATAAGAGCCGTCCGCGACGGGTATGTGGATTTGATGGACAACAAGTCCGACCCGAGGGTCAAGGGCTGGTTCCTCATGTCGGGACCTGCGCCCACCCTGTCGATCGTCCTAACCTACGTGTTCATCGTCAAGTACCTCGGCCCGAAACTCATGGAAAATCGCAAGCCCTACAAGCTAAAGAACACGCTTATCGTCTATAACGCGTTCCAGGTGGTGTTTTCAGCGTGGCTTTTCTACAGGGCCCTCCGTGCGGGATGGTGGGGTGACTACTCGTTCTTCTGCCAGCCCATAGACTATTCGAACTCACCCCAAGCCCTGGACACGGTAGATATGTGTTGGTGGTACTACTTCTCCAAGTTCACGGAGTTCTTCGACACCTTCTTCTTCATCATGCGTAAGAAGTACAACCAAGTCTCCACCCTCCACGTTATCCACCACGGTATCATGCCCATGTCCGTCTGGTTTGGTGTCAAGTTCACCCCCGGCGGTCACTCCACCTTCTTCGGTCTCTTGAACACCTTCGTCCACATCGTCATGTACTTCTACTACATGTTGGCCGCCTTCGGGCCGCAAGTCCAGAAATACCTGTGGTGGAAGAAGTACCTGACCGTCCTCCAACTGGTCCAGTTCGTTTTGATCATGGTCCACGCGTTCCAGCTCCTCTTCATCTCCTGCGACTACCCGAAGGCTTTCGTCTGGTGGATCGGCGCCCACGCTGTGCTCTTCTACTTCCTGTTCACGGACTTCTACAAGCAGTCGTACGCCAAGGGTCAGAAGGCGGCCGCCAAGCTCGCGGCGGAGCAAGCTGCGCAGACCAACGGCTCGGCTGTCCACGATGCGTCGAAGCCCATCCCGAAGGCGGCGCAGACCCTCGAGAATTCCTACATCTCCCCGGAGGCGTCCCTGAGGAGCCGGGCGGGTGCCAGATAAGTGCCAATCAAAACTTTTTTAGTCAATCAATTTTCGCATCACAGAATCTCCTCCGGGGCCTCCGGAGCTGGATCGTTTATTTATTTAGTCGTATGTTAGTTGGTGCAGGGTTGTTGACGGGAAAAGGTCCTGTGATGATTGCGAGGAACTTGCGCGAATGGACCTTTGTTGTTGACTTCGTTCTGTGGCTGTAAAGAGAAGAGGGAAACTAACTTTAACGCCATTCAAATGTATAATTGGACCGCGTTAAACAGAAAGGAACCAAGCCACATCAGCTATTGCCAAATTTAATCGGGCAATTTGATTTTTTACATAAAAACGGTTGTGCGGATTTATGTTCAAATTTCAGTGAATTTTCTCCATACTACGAAGCAAATTCCTGAAAATTTTCAAAAGAATAAGCACAAACGTTCACTCGTAAGAAATTAAATTTCCCAATTAAATTTGGCAATAGCTGATGTGGCTTGGTTCCTTTCTGTTAAACGCGGTCCGATTTTTACCGTGAAGGCTGGGAAAGTCCTCCGATTCTCTTTTCGATTTGTACATAATTTACGGAGTTGCCAGATTTTTTTATCCTGTGGAAATATTGGTATCCGTTTGCGCAATTATTTCTCGTAATTTTTTTCCTTTTCCTGTACAGAAAGGAGTGCGTCTCCAACAACCCTCAATTTAAAGGATTCTGGCGGGTGGTACAGTAGCTCCTAAAAGTTGTTTTATGATTATATTCATAGCGCTTTACTGAAAAACTGTGGTGCGTTTTGTGAACGCAAGAAAGTCCGTAAAATTATTCCCAAAGTTTACTTACCTCTGTACAGAATCTTCAAATCCGAATGAAACCTCATCATGGTTGTCTAATTTAGAATTCGGAGAGGTTCAAAAATTTCTAACTTTCCCCCTTTTGGTTCTTTTCTCCTAAAGTTATGATTACGTTTAACATATCTGCTAGCTCTTAAGTGTCAGGTTAAAGGAGTCATCCTGGTCAACCGCCATAATTCGCAGATGGACAACGGTCAGTTTTTCGGTCTTAGATACTGCTCATTGGTTGATGCTTCATTTGATGGAGCATCAACATTCATACAGTCATTTGATTTGAGTACTAAGCGAAAAACTGATATAGAGTTGCCAAAGTCTGAATAGCCGTGGTATTTATATTGCCCTCACTCCCTTTTTTTGAAAGTTGTTTTGACGGTGTAAATTTGCTCAAAAGTTCCCTCATTGTCCAAAAAGAGGACAATTCGCCGGAGACAGTGCCTTTATGAAGATTTGTCGGGGGCACTATCTCCAATCCGATAAAAACTGCGGCTTAATTTGCCTAATTTCCTTAAGTTAATAATTTATTTTTTTATTATTCATGGCTAGTGCAATAAATAACATCCCAACCATCCGTGGGAAGTTATGGACCAGAAACAAGAAACCGTTTTTTATACTTTTGACAAAAGTTGGGTTTAATTGAGTTGTCAAGTGTGTTGATGACTGTCGTTTAGTTTGGTAGGTTAATTTGCTAGTTAACTGTTGTCCTGATGAATAATAAGATGTGCTAAGTCCCACAATGAGATTGAGTCTCAAAAATTTACAGACTCAGAGTTTTTTCTACATTTCCTTGAATACGTAGATGTGCCTGCATGACAGAAATTATACTTGCACGTCATGAAAGCAAGTCCATGAAAAAAAAAAAACAAAAAAAAAAATTATCAGACTGTTTCTGTGGCAAGTACCTATACACTCCAGATTATTACGAATCCGTAGTGCTTATCATAGCAAAATACATACCTAAACGTAATAAGACATCCGTATTTTTCTGAATTTTTTTAAATATATCGCCACTGAAAGGACAATACCCTTTTTAATCGTGCGTTTTCACAGTTACACATGGATTTAGAGTTTTTTCAAAAGAAAATAAATCGCACAGTTTGCGAAGCACTCCATTTGAAATGCCTCTATCTTTTATTTTGAACACATGATCCATATTGGTGAATTAAAATACGTATAAAAAATCAAAGTTCAAATCATCATCCTGCTTGCATTCTCCTCTAATCAACCTGAATACTTTTTTCATTTTTTAACGTTTATCGATGCCCATTTTAATAAATATCCTAGGTACTTTTCTTAGTTCATGAAGTTGAAAAATTAGGAAAAATCTGTGGAAATGACTGAAAAAAACCTTTCTATAATTTCATTGCCGAATTTGTTGCACGATCTATGAATTCTTTGTAACTACTTTAGCGGAACATTGTGATATTGATATTCTTGTGATAAATCGAGCTGCACGATTGCCAACACATACGATTGTTTTCGAGAAATTGCCAATTTTAAATTTCAATACCTAGAAATGTGTAGAGTCCTCGAAAACTTGATTTTACATCAAATCAATCAATGCATTTTCACTCGGTAAAAACATTTATGAGACAAAGTTTAAAAAAGTGGGTTTCAAGAAATAGAAAAAAACTGCCACCAAGTTTTTTTTTTTTTTTTTTTTTTTTTTTTTAGAAATATCAATTCATTCGGACCTCTTTTTTTTAAGAAAAATAAAATATGACTTACGACTTGAATACTATTTGTGAACAATGAAAAGTCACGATAAAAGGCAAAATATATTAATAAGAGGCACGTAAATATCCTCATGTTCAAAATATTCGATTTTCTTGAAAAAAGAAGAGCTAGAGTTTCAAATTTGCTCTTAAAAATCAATAAGAATGCATTCCAAAAATCGTACAATAATTTCCATCGATATAGCATGCTGCGCATAGCAATTTTCAATTTCACGCGGTTTCAAAACTCGCACAGCAAATAACATTAGAGATCGCAAACCGTCTCAATCGAAGTGTACCGATTAGATTCTAACCGGATCCAAACAAGTCTCTCGCCCTCTCGATTTGGTCTCGCTTCCCCCAGGCAGTAGAAATGTCACCAATCAATCTAATCATTTGTCCTAGTAGTTTCGTGAGTAAGAGTGTTGCGTTATTAAAATATATGGAGCACTTACCCACTCTCGGTGAAATCTTTTTGTAAGACTTACATCTTGAATCAGCGAATTCCGCCAAAAGTTTTTATTCTCCTAGACATTATGGTCCCATTGACATACAAGTCTTCATCTCCATGACATTAATGAGACTATTGTGGACCTAAGTAATTTTTTGAGTAAAAATTCGCACATTATTCGTGGTTTTGCTTAGTAATTTTAGACCATTTTTCTGAAAATTGCTGAAGTTTGCTCGTTTTCATTGCTGTGAAATGGGTAACGAGAAAAACCAAGGCAAGGCCCGAGTTTTCCCGATCCTCGTGGATGACGGAATGCAGCGTTGCCGTATTGAGACCATAAATACCTCTTTTTCGCATCGTTTGGACGAAAAATACGAGCCCAACTTGGCAGCATCCGATCGAAGCTCATTAAATTGCTGCAATATAATCTGCTCTACGCAAAGGCACAATTGTTAACTTCTCACTCGGCCGAGAGTTTCCTAGTTCGTACAATCATTAATTATTCCTTGCGTCGCGCGCAAATAGTCTTTTACGTAAGCAATTTTTCATGACTGGAAAACATACTGATATATATCTATAATAACAATTATCCCGACCAGCAATTTTTCTCCTTTTCCAGCTGGCCCGGCAGAGGGCGTGTAGCCAGAATCCGGGTCCATCCTTTGCACATCAGGGAGCCATCCATGTAGCTTTGCATTTAAACCATTGAGCGCAAAGGAACACAAACCGCACTGATAATGTCATTTTGCGGAGCCCTTTTTTGGAGCCCTTTTTTGGAGCCCTTTTTTGGAGCCCTTTTTTGGAGCCCTTTAAGATTCGATGCATTGGTCATTTTACCAAGTTTGTCAACAGCGCAATTTTCGTTAATCATCCTCAAAAGTACTTTAATTATGTATGAGCCTGAGAGAGTGCGTTGAGCCAACATTGCCACGTTGACAAGTCAATTTTTCAGATTTCACGGGATAGTCGAGAGATACAATAATTTTAATCAACGAATTGGCATCCTGTACTATGAATATTGATACGTGTATTAATAGCGGCGCTTCAGGAAATAACAAAGGACTCCCTGACCTAATTTCTCCGGATTGCTTCAAAAATCGGCATGAATATTCGTTCGTTTGGCACATCGGGAAGTTTTAGTGCACTGTGGGCCCCGCTGATAATGAATTCCAGCCTTTAGCGGTTTAGCGTTTAGTTCATCATGGAATGTGGCAAACTTTAAATTCAGCTAAACGCCAAAAAAGTGAAAGCAATGAAATTGCAATCCTGCTCATAGACCATTTTCTTCTTCTCCTTTTGAGTAAATTTTCTCCACCGCTCAAGGAGAACAATCATCATGTAACCAATATCTAATCACCGAGTTTTCTTTTCAGTCACATGCAGAATCCTGTTTTTGAGCGCAAGAACTGAAATATTACGATCAGAGACTTAAGATAACTGATTACTCAATTTTAAGCTTTGACGGCGCGAAATTTTTCGTGACCGAAAGACCTAGTTCCGTCCACCGAGCGAGGAGGGAAATTCGCGAAGGTTGGTCAAGGTCAGGCATCTGAGGCGCGCTTTTCCGATTGCCACACACATGGGTCAGATCGAAGCGCGATTATTTCCGCCAGGCGACAAATAACAATCGGCTCGATTTTCAACATTTTGAGCCGCGCTCCGTGCCGCGTCGCCAGATGCCCAATCATCTCGACGGAAAATCGGACGCGGAAAAAACGACAAACGGTCCACAAAAATGGCCTATCTTCCGGCCGGGCGGCTGCGGCTGCGACTCGCGACTCGCAGCTCGCAACTCGCAGGTCGCGGCGAGACGTTTGTTGTTGGAAATCCGAGGTTAGACACGCGGCCCGGCGCGACAACGGAGCGCCAAGGTGCGAGACACTAATTGATCGGAAGGCCCGCGCGCGCACGAGCAAGCAGGGAGTAGCCAATGCCAAAAACGTACGAAATCAACGCGGGTATTTACACTTCACAATAGCGTAAACAGTGAAAAAACAACAACGGCCCGATTATGAAACGGCCGCGACCGCCAAATAGGCCGGCCTCCTCCCCCGGTACTGTTAACCTATCAGTGGTGTGTGGTCAGCCCTCTAACGCGCGGTTGACGATTTGCTTTAGAGTCCCTTTGTAATGAGAGTAAAGACAATGAGAATCCATTTCTGATTGGTTCCCGAATTTTAGGCATCGACGGTGTCACAAACGGGAATAAAGATTACATTTTCACCAATTAAGAAAGATGATAAACTGGAATGGACCGGGGAATTGGGGGTACGGCAAGGAGCAACTGGAATGAGAGAGGGGACGGAGATAAGAATTCGGGAA